ACTCCCTTTTTCCACATTTGGCACACTTCCTCCCTTCGAGTTTTTCCAGGAGCTCCTTTCTCAGGATGAAGTGGGAAACAGCAAGTAGAGGAAGCTAAATCATCAGTATTATTGTCATGTAATGTTTTTCCTTTTAAATTCTATTCTTAGTTTTTCTGGGTCTGAGGATAAATTTTCACAGGTGAAGTTACGTCACTTTTTAACCTTGTGGAAAATACAGCAGCCTCTCTTCACTTGGATTCTCAAAGAAAGACAAAAAGAAACCCCAACCCCAAAACCAACTGAAAACCAAAAAACCCAAGAAAACCATAGAAGCAATCTGAGCATTTCCCCTCAGAAGAGCTGAATAAAATGTGAGGTGCCAATGTCTTTACACGTTCTTCAGATATATTGATGTTTTTCACAACCTGCCTGTCCTTTTTAGAAGAGACTGAAGTTTAACATCAGTTGGATGTCTTTTGGAAAAGCTAAGGTAAAAGGTGGGACTAGCTGACACAAATAGAAGAGGAGATGTTGAAAGCATGGTTTTCTATAAGGAAATACAGCTTTTCACATCACACATGCCAGTGGTGGTCCTTTAAACATGCTTAGTTTTTAGATAAAGCTAGGTGAGAAATAAAGCCATGTTACCAAGATATTGGAAGGCAAGGGCAAACAGGATTTATTTCGATTTTTATACATCCCTAATTCAGTATCTGATCCTTACATTCAAACTGCTTTTGCTAGGGTTTCAAGTGAATTAGTCTGGATCATGTTTTACGAAGAGTGTTCTTTTGCAGGCTACTTGACTGGTTGGCTGTCTCTGTTGCAGTCAGCTGCGCTAGTCTTGAAAATTTATCTCATTCCATGGCTGATGACAGCATTAAAGCTTCCTGCCATTTTTCTCTTATTCAAAGAATCTTCTTTCTTTCCACTTTGGCTGTCTGTGAGGCTTTGTAAGTTCATTCTTGGTCCTTAAATGTCTTTTCTCTGTGTAGTTTGACTTGCATAAAAATACCAGTACTGCCTCCAGGCAGATAACTCTCAGATCTACTGTTAATCACCAGAGTAAGGTCCTTCCTAGAAATGTGTAGTAACTTTCTGCTTTCCTTCAAAATGCTTCTTCAAGTTTTATTTTGTCTTTGTAGGATAGTGGCATCTTTTTTCTGTGTTTTCCTGCATGTCCCCATTTGTTTGTTGTTGCAAACTTAGTTACAAGGAACTTTACTAATCCATGTATTTGAAAATATAGTTCAGCATTACCTGGAGTATTGTTTTTGCTTAATGAGCAGGACTCCAGGCACTATGCTACTGCAGAAATTCCTTGTAATAAGCACCAAAAATAAATTCCACTACTGCTGTGCCCTATACCAGGTACCTCAGAGGTATGTATGAACTGAGAAGCATTTAGTGGTCCTCTTCCAGTAGTCTCCCAGTCACTAGGGATTTGTGTGTTATCATCTGAAGCAGACATTTTTTTCCAACTCAATTTGGTAAGGTTTTGAGCTTACTTAAAACTCTCCAATAGCAGAGCTCCATAGCACAAATGCGTTTCAAGGAGTATTTAATAGTGTTTTTAAAACTTGCTAGATTAGTTTGAAGCCCTCTAGTTTGGTTTTTTTTTCCGAAGTAGGAAGACAAGGAACAATTAATGTCTATTTACTTTCTCCATATCAGTCAGTTTTGTATGGCTGAGTCATACACACCTTCAATAAGCTGCTTTTCAAGTGAATCCTAGTCTACTTGATTATTCCCTGTATGAAAGCTCTTCAATACCGTTTGTATCTCCCTGTCTATCTGCTTGTGGCGGGTGAAGCAGGGTTGTGTGTAGCACCCAAGATAAAGGCAAATGATTGATTTATACAGGCAAGAGGTGTACTCTGTTTTAATTTTGTCCTGAAAGTCTGAAATGTTGGATTCTTCTTGTTGTAGTCGGTTATTTTTCATTGGAGTTGTTGCTATTTTTACATGGTTCTAAGTCCAAACAATAAAATGCTGTTTCTAGGGGTAACCTATCACATGTCTCTGTGTAGATCGTTCTTGCCTTACTATTCATGTGGAACTACTTCTCGTGGTTTTTGGATAGGTTTTATTTTCCTTTTTATGTCAGGTACAGCTTTTTTTTTTTTTTCCCAAGTGCCTTCATCAGGCACAAATTCCAAATGTAAAGCTGTATGCTTTGTCCTTCTAAAAGTAAGAGTATGCACAAATTGCAGTGCGAATGGAGTATGATAAACTTTGATCTGTGTAATGCACACTAAATAATTTTATTCAGTGATTTTTCTCAGTGAACCAAATAATTTGTCTAAGTACGCTTTCAAACACAGTCTTGTCTTCACTTGGTGTTTTTGATGTCTTGCATTTGCTTCAGTAACCTCTAGACTCAATTTATTCAATTTATTACCTAGCTATGCCTTTTATCTCCTTCTGTCTGATGGAGTGTTTTTACATTGGATATTCTTCTTTCCTTCTGTAATCACTTGAAGGTGGTCAAGCTGCCTTGTACTACCTCAGGCAGGAGTGATATATACATTGAATTTTGGCTGAAGACTAGATATTATCATGATAAAGAATTACCACCTGAACAGGCTAAGTACTTCACCTGATCAGTGTAGTAATCCAACTAGTATGTCCCATATTCTTTTCTACTTTCTCATCTTCTCCCAATATGTCATTAGTGACAAGTCTGTAATTTGTTAAGAAAGCAGGAACTCCAGACCCGCTAAGCATATGGAGCACTTATGCATGGGATACAGATTCACTGCTGCATAAAAGTGTACTGTAGAACTGCAGGTCTGTAAATACCTTGTGAAATGCAGAGCAGTAGGCTTGCTCTTCTTGCAGTAGTTTGAGTTAAACAGAATTTCATGTTATATTGTGATTCAAACTCAAATCCTTAAATGCAAGTCTCTATTGAAGGAGCCCATAAATTTGGGTAGACTGTGCCACCCGTGCAGCTGCTCCTTCTAAAGATGATCTGAAATTCTCATCCTAAACAGTGCTCTGCACTTGCACTTTGATATGCGTACCTGCTTTTGTGCGTTTGAAAAGCCCAACTTCATGTGCCTGCTTCAAACACGTGAACTGTACTGTGGGGAAAGGAAAGGCAGAAATGTGGGAGCAAAAGCCCCTTTCTTTTTGATGGAGACTGTTGACCTCTCCAGGTGATACAGAGCCTTCCTGGATGCAGGAGTCTGCATGGCTCCTTCTGGCTCTGCAGATGCAGCAAGCAGTGCTCCTGGGGCATTGCGGAGCTGGATAGGCTCCAAAGCAGAAGATGAAATTAGGGGTCTAGGGAAATACGCAAACAGTGGCAGTGGTCAGATTTAAATCTAATACATGTTTCTAACGTAGCGATACCATGTGTAGTGTAAGCCATGCGGTTACTAAAGCAAGCCACACATAGGACAGTTAATCCACTGGATTTGAGTGCAGGGAGTTTGTCTTCAGTGGGGAAGAGAGGAAGATTTACAGAACAGTAGGGGAAGAACGAGGGTGGATATGTGGGTAGAAATGCAGAGAGTAAAGGAGAGCATGGGTTTAATTAATCATGATCTGATAGGATCTTGTGTAGTCTGAAGTGAAGGTAGAATGGCTCTGTCTTCTGGTGCTGTCTCTCCGTAGTAGTGAAAGGATCTGACAAAAATGGGGAAGATGAAAGGCATAAATTACTAAAAATCTAGGCTAGCAGACCTCTGTTGCAGGGACTGCCAGACCAGTGAATGGGAATATCTTGCCAGATGTCTAAAAGCTGACCAGTCCTAGGATGTTTGTGTCTTATACAGACTTGTTAAGTTTAAAGCTGAGTATTGCTTAGGTGGGTAACTGATTTAGTTACCGCAGGGATTCTGTGTGAACATTTTTTCCGCTGGTCTTTTGGCAGTTGTGTGATTGTTACATGATACATTTAAAAAAAAAAAAACCACAACCAAAAACAAACAAACAAAAAACCCGCACAAACTTCTGCTATGGTTCTGTGGGTTTACTAGTTTGCTACTGCAGATGTACTACTGGTTCATATCCCAACAGCACTGTTTTTTAATGTTTTTTATTTCTCTTAGCTTACATTACTGA